TCAATCACCGTCGTTGAATCGCCATCTGGGACAGAGACGGAGAACGGCTGTAACAGCAACAAAAGTGCGAAATGATTGGAGGGAAGGTTCCCACAAGGAAACACCCCGGCCACCTACGGGGGCCACCCCATCCGGCTGTAGCTGGAGACGCCAACGCCGAGGCGTTTGGACAACAGATTCCTGGGCATTCTCGAATGATGGTGGTGGCGTTCTCGATGTTTTTTTTGAATGAGAGGGGTATTATTTATACTAATATTGGTGTTAAGAAGAGGCAAGCAGCCAGGATATGGAGCGGGATGGAATTTCTTTATTTTTATTTTTATTTTTATTTTTATTTTTTGAGATGGAATTTCTATGCATGTGTTAGGGAGTCAGGCAGGTATTGCAAAAGGAGGACTGGAAACCCAGGTGCTTTGGAGAAGAGATGGGATCACGTCTGTGACCGGCTAACTTGGGGAAACTGGTTGGGGCCGTGGGTGTCGTGGGAACAGCTGCTAAATCGGGGAAATCAGTGGAATGCAGGGAAGAAGGCTGCGGGAAGGAAGAAATAAAAAAAATTTCCACCTGGGAGCAAAGAATAGCCAAGGGCCCAAAGGGAAGGTGTTTAGATCCCAATGCATTTGAGACAAAAACCTGGGATGAAGTCTCTGGGCCACCTGCCATTGCTCCGCTCGCCACAAAGGTTCGTCATACGGATTTCAATCAAACAAGGAATGCCTGGGAGCAAACAGTGCCCGGGGAGCAGCGTGTGTGAGCCATTGTCCCCCCACCGTGCTGCAAGGATTTTCCTTCTGTCTTCAGCGGGGGCTGCGGGGTGAACCGTCAGATCCAGACCCAAGTGTGAATGTGCGTCCAGCCGAACAGAGAGGAATGAGACCCGTACCTGCAAGCTGCCCGATTTGTGGGCGGTTTGCACCCTGAGGTCCCATTGACTAGAGCGAAGGAGTCTGCGCCTCGGCGACATTTACGATGTTCCATGGAGAGAACGGAGTGAAGGGAAGCCCACAGAGAAATCTCAATCGCAGGAGCTGGAAGGCGGCCGGGGAGACGCAGGTGAGCTCCTGCCTCAGGGTCACCAGGCCCGACCACACGGAAAGCGTCGCTGCAGGGAGTGTAGGATCCCGCGCTGCCGCCAGGCATCACTGCCTATTGGCTCTCTAGATGCTGGAAGACGTCCTAGGGGTGTGAAAACTGCCTCTGGGTCTTCTCTGCGTCTCGGTCTTCTCACCTGTACAGTGGTTACGACGAGTCTGCAGTGAGGACCCAGGGACCCGAGGCCCGGCTCATCCTGACAAAGTTCACAGACAACACCGGGCGGCCGCGTGCTTTCTTTCCCTCTTGCTCCTCCCGTCTGGCCCGCAGGCACAGCTTATCCGCTCTACCTCCAAAGGGCATTGGGAGTCTGGCCACGTCCATGGCTGCCGTCCTCCTGGGCCACGCACCACGATCTCCCGTCGGGCTCACGAGGTGGCCTCTCACATGGGCTATAACCCAATAGCCATGGTCCTACCACGAAAACCTAAGTCAGATGCCCATGCCCCTCCCTCAAGTCCCTCCAATGGCTCTCGACCTGACCAGAAGTGAGAGCCACAAGGCTGTGTGGGGAGCACGGCTGACAGCTGGGTTCTCCACCCCCTTTGCCTGCTGTATTTTCTTCTATATGCTCATCTCCATTTCACTTCGTTATTTTGTCTTTTTCCACCAGAAAAGTAGGCTGAAAAACCTGACGTTTTGTCTGTTTTATGCACCAACGAATCCCCAGTGTCTAGAACCATGCCTGACGCATTAAAGAATCTCAACAAACGGTTGGTGAATCAACTACATGAATATCTCTGCACTACCCTGTAGGCCCTTATTAAGCTCTCAGGCAACCAAAACATGCACACATATTTAATTAATTGCTCTGTCTTAGGAGGGATTGCTGCCCCATTAATATAGGAAAGGACTGGAGTCCTAGGGCACATGCAGCGTTGGCATCAGACACTGAGACCCAGCAGTGGCTTTCCCAGGAAGTCAGTACACACCACGCCACACATCCTGTGGGGTAGCCCTAAACCCCGGGAACTGCCCAGGCCATGCTGCATTATGTGGGTCCCGTAAAGCATGTCCAGCTGAGGAGGGCTAATATTTACACTTATCCCGATCTTATTTATAATAACATATGACTACATGTAACACTCAGTAATATATGTGATCTATGACAGCATTTTGCTAGGAAAGTTAAGAGCTGAATAAGCAAGTGTTATTCAAGATGGTTGGCCAACTACGTACATGCACATACATGCAAACACTGGCACATAAATGCATTTCTCATATATTTGCTTGTTTGTATGTATGCACGTGTGATGTGGCTATATCTTTTTTAAAAAAAAACTTTATTTTTTGAGAGAGAGAGAGAGAAAGAGAGAAAGGAGGGGGAGGGAGAGGAACAAGCAGATTTGCACCAAGTGTGGTGTGGACGTGGGGCTTGACCCTGAGGTGATGACCTGAGCTGAAACCAAGAGTCGGCCGCTCAACCCACTGAGCCACCTGGGCGCCCTTGTATCTGGCTCTACTCTCTTTAAAAAAAATTTTTAAAGATTTTTTAAAAAAATCATTTATGATAGACATAGAGAGAGAGAGAGAGAGAGAGAGAGAGAGAGAGAGAGACAGGCAGAGGGAGAGGCAGGCTCCATGCCGGGAGCCTGACACGGGACTCGATCCCGGGGCTCCAGGACTGTGCCCTGGGCCAAAGGCAGGTGTGAAACCACTGAGCCACCCAGGGATCCCCTCTGGCTCTACTCTTGATTGAAATATAGAATTTTAAGCTTCGAAATACGTAAAACCTAAGGGTGGTTGCCTCTTTCTGAAATTAACTGGATTAGAGAACTAGTGACTCTACATACAATAAAAAAGTTCAGAAATCGAGTTCCGCTACACAGATTTCTTGGCATTTCGTACCCAAAGCCCAGGAAACAGTAAATGTAGACGACCACCTATCCTCCCTGAGGATCTGAGTGGCATTTTGGTTACATGCTATTTTGGGAGTTGTGGGGCTCATTTGCATGCACGCCCACACACACCCACGCACACACCGAAATGCTTAGTGAGCATAAGTACTATATAAATTTAAAGCATTTTCTCTGAATAAATTCAACAGACTCACATTTCGCACAAGCTAGTCAAGCCCACAGGTAAATTAATCCACTCATCGTATTTTCAGTGGAGCACCAGCTATTTAAACATTATATTCGAGGAATCAGTAGCCATAAAATAACAAGAAAAAGAGCCACTGTTAGTGCTTCCCACCGAACACGAAGTGAACAGAAACGTGATGGAGTACTGACAGTCAATTCACTTTGAATTAGACACAGCATCACCGCAAGTCTCGGGAGATGATACGAAGTTTTGTGTCTGAGAAATACCAGGAATTCTACAGGCAAGGGGAGGATTATATTTGGTTGGCAAGAAGCCAACCCAGCTTGACACTTGTTCTAGAAGTAGGTGGTCAAAAACTCAGCTCTTGTCATCAAAGCTGTTGGCTCCAGTTGCTTACACTACCTGACTCTCAGCACCTCTGGTGTTCCCCATCTTGAAGGTAAAACATCAAGAAATGAGATGGAAAAGTCAGGTCTAGTGAAAATGATCTCAAATTGAAATCAGCCTCAGGGAAAAGCAGGTCTGATGAGACAGCGCACGTCAAATAAAAACAAAGAACAGAACCGACTTGCCAAGTGGCATCTTCAGACGGGAATGGTTTTTGATTTTACTTCTTCAGGGAAAAGGGGCTCAAGCCAAGGTAAGGAGGAGATGCACTCAGAGCTTCCTCTCTGCTTTCCTCAAAATACATGCTGTGAATTTTCTAGAGTTTGCAGTACATGTTTTATCTTTTTTTTTTTTTATTTTTTTTTAGTACATGTTTTAAAAAGAGGCCTTCACTCTGGGTGGAAGGAAGTGCTTGCTCCTTGATACGTCTGGTTTCACCGTAATAGTATATAATGCCTCTCTCTAATAAATTCGACCACAAAATTTTTTTTCGAATGTGTCTGCATTCTGCTAATTTATAAAAAGCAGGATGCTGTCAGATAAAATTTCATGAAAATGATCTATAAACCAGACTGTCAAAAGTGAAAGGTACTCAGGCAGTACTTAGAGGCAACAAATCCATGGAAACCACGGGAAAGCTTTCCTGTGGCTGCAGGACAACAATGTACTGTAACGAAGCTCACGTTTCCTTGACTTGCAAGTTACTGTGAGGTCACAGGAAATCCTGAAATGTTTTCCACATTTTCTTTTATACATTTTATGTCAAATTTCCTGCAATTGAAATCATAAACCCTCCTACTGCTGGAATCTCTTCTGAAGGGAAGGAGATCTTGTGACACTCCCCCCATGAACACCTAATAACTCAGTTCCTACCAGCGTAACAAGAAACCGAGAGACAGGGTTGAAAATGGACTGTGATAAGGCCGGAACGTCAGATGCCCCGATTCATTCGAAACGAAAAGGAAGCCAGTATCATTACAATGACTCTCCAGGTGCACTTAATCCAGCGAGAGTAGACTTTTCTTTAGAAGAAGAGACAACAGAAGAAACGGTGGGACTGTCCCAACGACATAAGTCCACCATTCCCCAAATCTCTTCTCCAAAATGTATTTTGTAAAAAAAAAAAAAAAAAAAAAAAGTATTTTGTGCATTTACAGCCAACTTTTTTTTTTTTTTTTTTTTGGCCAACTTTTGAAATGGCATCTTCTACGTGGAGATTCTTAATGCGACTCAAGCTCCTGACGACCACATTTTATCGATCTAGCTGTGCTCATAAAAGGATGAGTCAGATTTAAGTAAAATGCTCGAGTTTAAAACATTCTCCCAAGATTCATCCCGCGCAACTATGGAATTTAAAAACAGCGTTTAAATGGTCAAATACTACATTAATATAAATCCAGGCCGAACAATCAAGGCTCATTAATGAACAGCAAGTTTTAAGATTTGTTGGGTCGTGAGCTCCTAGGACACGTTACCTCTCCTGACATATCGGGGGCCATCGGAACGGCGGGCCACAGGGAGGAGTAGATGCCGAAAAACACCACCCAGAGCGCGATGCTGCCCCAAATCGCTATGTGGCTGAACTGCGAAGGAAGGGAACACGGGTCACAAGACGTGTGTCACAAGGCTGTGTACAGACGCGCCGACGACGCTGTTGCACCTGCCCTTAGTAATCTTATCACTACGTCCATAAGGTATGATCTGTGGGAATTTCCAGTAACAACGCGTACGCGTTCCAACCGGACCTTTCATCAGCGCCAACGCTCCTGTCCCCCCGGTGGCGGGACGTCTGCGGTTTGACGGGCATTCCTTGTCTGCTCCCTTTGGGGGCTCCCTCCTCGGACTCTCCTCTCCTACCTGCTACCATCTTCAACCTCTTTTATGTTTGCTCTGCGTGCTCTCCCCGGGGAAGTCACAATAAAACCTTAAAGGCGCTGAAAATCTTGTGGTCAATAAACTTGAGTTTTTTTTTTTTTTTTTTTTGACTCGCTGTTTCCGAACTAGACAAACTAGAGTCCCCAGCCCTCCCCACCTCCAGCCAAGACCCCTCACAAGGGACAGCCTGGGGGAACAGGGCCACATAAGTTAGAATGAAGAGCCATCGTGTCAACGTGTCATGGCCCGGTGGTGGTCAGGGATGCTCTTACCCACGTCCAGTACGACGTCTCCAATCCAGCTTTCAAACACACAGTTATCACCACAAACTAAAACAGAAGGGAAAACTTTATTTTACTTGATACGTGTGAGAGTTTAAATGTTAAAAGTGAGGTGTGTAAAGACCAGGTGTTCACTGTGCTATGGGACTGGTAGGTTCTGCACAGCTTGCCGTGTGTGTCCACCGAGCAAAGGAACAGGGGAATGAGCTGGGGGCTGCCCGGGATGGCCGTGACCTGTCAGGTGGGCCCACTAGCAGCATCCCACCACCACCGTCACCCCAGCCCTCCTCCCTGCACGCCCTCGCAGTCCATCCACGGGGCTTACGCCCACCTGCTTCTTGCACAATTCGTGAACCGTGAGTGTATGTCTGCAGTAACTTGGATTTTTAAGCTTGCTTTCATTTTATTTTATATCAAGGCCCCCCAGGTGGCTCAGTGGTTGAGCATCTCCCTTCATCTCCCAGGGTCCTGGGATCGAGTTCTGCATCGGGCTCCCCGCATTGAGCCTGCTTCTCCCTCTGCTCCTCTCTCTGTGTCTCTCATGAATAAATAAATAAAATCTTAAAAAAAAATTCATTTCGTATCATCTGGAATGCTAAAGTCCCTACTTTCCAAATTTTAGAGATAAATTCTAAAGATAATGTAACTGGTCGTTTAGAAACCTAATACACACTTTCTCTGTAACTTTACTTACATACGACCCCACGGCTCAGGATATAAAAGCCTGTTACATTCTCCATGACGTACACACCCGTTCCCATCACGGACTCTGCTGCTAATTCCCAAGTAAGGGAACTAGTTTAACTAAACTAGTTTTTAATGCTTAAAAATGTAAGCACCCCTGTGCTTTCCTTTTTTTAAATTTTTATTTATTTATTATTTATTATTATTATTATTATTTTTTACCCCTGTGTTTTCCATAGGGTGGCACAAAGGTTAGCTGGGCTGGCCCTGGAGTCAGACTGTTTGTGCTCAAGCCTCCACCATTTATTGGGTGTTTTGGTTAAGGAACAAGGCAAGTTACCCAACCTCCGTGTCTCAGCTCCTTCATCTGTAACCTGGTACCTACTGCACAGGGGAGGGAGTCTAAACCCCAGTGCTTAGCACTGCACTGTTATCTATTATCTATTCATAGGTAAAAATGAAATTTTAAATATTGTCAGTAGTCAAGGGAACTCTGGACACTTTGAGCAGTTTGGGACGGTGGAAGCGTGATGCGGGCCTCGCACCACTGATCAATACATGCCTGCCTACCTAGTTCTACTTCTGGGTTTGCACAGCATTAGGGGCTTCTCCACGGGGTCAGAGTGAGGCTCGGGTGAAGCATTTGGGCTTTCTCAGCAAGACATCTAAAGCCAATGTAGGATTAATATCTGTAGAAATAAAACTATTAAAAATCTAAGTACTCGTTAACAAGCTATATAAAAAGTTTAAAACTAAGAGATATATTTTGACATTGAATTAAACAGTAACACCCCCCTGAGACCTGAGTATCTTAATGTGTCCTTAAGGAACATTCCTGCTATATACTCAGATTAATTTCTTTTTTAAAAAATTTTATTTATTTATTCATGAGAGACAGAGAGAGAGGCAGAGACACGGGCAAAGGGAGAAGCAGGCTCCCTGCAGGGAGCCCGACGTGGGACTCAGGGTCATGCCCTGAGCCGAAGGCAGATGCTCCACCGCTGAGCCCCCCAGACATCCCTACTTGGACTAATTTCTAAACTTAGCCTAACTTACTTATTTCCATTGATGTCAACGGAAAGGACATCCCGGGAAAATAACTTGATCTCTCTGTTATTTAATGGCCTTACTGTCCTATCATTCAGTAGTTTTAACACTTGATATTTAAACATCACATTCTAGTTTTCTTGCCAACTGAGTCAGTCACATTGATATCTGCTTAGTATTTGGAGCAGCACCCCGCCCTCATTCGGGAAGGAATTAGAGAAAGGAATGTGGCCTGAGAATTCAGAGTTGAAGGTTATAGTAAACGTACCAGACACCCAACTACTGACCTCGGCCTTTAGCATTCAAGTAGTGCTTTTGACTTCTAAGGGAAAAGTGGTTTTCAGACATTTTTTGGCCCTTTATGGCAGGCATGGGCTTGCACTCATGTGTGTGTCCTCCACAAGTGTTTGGATAGTGACTTAACACAGTGGGTTCCGTGGCTTGTATGGATGAAATGTCCCCAAAGAGTGATTTCTCTCCCATTTTAGTTATCAAGAGACCCTAGAATCATGACTGGCTAACCGCCCAAGAACAGTATGATAATATCTGCCATAAATTCAGGAAAGCAAAAAGAAAAAAAAATTAACAAGGGCAGTAAAATAAAAATGAAGAAAAAGAGACAAGGAAGAGAAAAATGGGAATTGGGGGAGGGCGCTGAGAGTAAAGAGGGAATACTGAAAATAACAGCAACGAAAGTCCTATCAAGTCAGTGAGCCTAAATGACACATTAAAAACCTCACATAAAATAAGCTCCTAATAGTCAAAACATCTTATATTATTTTTAAACGGAAGTGCAAGCAACCCTACGTTCAGAAATGCCCACAGTTAAATTTGTAAATACAGTGAAAGGATTTGATTTTTATATACAAACTAGGCAAGTGCTCTGTACTTACAGTGTAAACAAAGTTTCCCAACAGCAGATAATCAGAGGTTTTCCCATTTCCAAATACATTTCCTGTATGACAAGAAGAGAGGCTTATTAGAAATGAAAATCAAAAAAAAAAAAAAAGAAATGAAAATCAAAGCAGTCCTTTCAGAATCCTTTCAAAGACAAATCAATTTATAATTGTTGAACAAAAGAAGGGAACCAAGGATTACACCCTAAACTAGGCTAATTAAAAAAAAAAAGTTATGAGAAGTCTCACAAAGTTGCTATAAATGTGGATCAAAATGAAAAGCAATTTTCTAATAGCCAACAATGGAGGAGGAAACCTGACTTGTTAACAATTCTCAGGATCCATGAGGTGGGGGAAAGAAAAAAAAATCAAACTAATTGTTCAAGGAAAGACCAATTCTATGGGCACTGAGACAGGAGAAGTCATCCTGAACCCTCACTAGAGACCTTTGTTAGCAACACAGGTGAGAGTTTTAGGGAACCTTCTAACTTCCTCTCAATGAAGTTGTTGGCATCAGACCAGATGGGATTCATGAATGCACATCACAGAAGACTGAGGAGCACCAATATGGTGCTAGGCACATGGCTCTTGGAAGGTTTGGCTAATTTGGGGGGAATATTTTAAAGTATTTTGTTACCCAGCAATGACTAACAAATGTGGCTCTAGATGAAGGGAGTGGTGGCCAACAAACACCACGGTTACTGATTAAAAAAAATAAAAACTGAATAACTGAATAATTGGCACCCATTGGCACCATGGGAAAAATTAAGACCTGTGGTACAATACCAGTACAATATTTTACTTATGCAAATATTCAACAATATTTATTAAAAAATCTCGTATGTAAGGACAAAACCTGGGAGAATAAAGTATGGGACGAGATAGGCAGCGTGGCCCCGGTGTGAAGACAAGTTGTAGCTGGGTGAGTCTGGGAAACACAGACCAGGCTCGGCATCTGTGACTAGCTGTGCCATGTTGGTTTACATAATCAATCTCCAAGGGGACTGAGCTTCTTCACTTAAAAGAAGGAGTGGAACTACCTACCCCCAGTGGGGTTTTGCTATTACAATGAGGTCCTGTATGTAAGGCTCCAAGCACAGAGCCAACGCTGGGTGCATGTGGCCCGTGCTCCATGCTGTGACCCTACTCTCTCTGGAGTTTTTGGTGAGAAGTAGTCAGGAAGGGCTGCCTCATAACAGCCCAGCCGCCTAGAGACCCCTCGTCTTCGTGGGGGTATTCCATGATTAAGGATATAGGATTTGGTGTGCTAGGCCTCATCTAATATATTGTTAATTATTAATTATTAAATTAATTATTAATTAATATATAATATTTCAAATAAATAAATAACTTATTTATTTGAAAGAGAAAGAGAGAGCAGGGATGGGGGGAGTGGCAGATGGGGAGGGAGAGGAAGGGGAAAGAATCTCAAGTGGACTCAGCCCAGAACCCAATGCGGGACTTGATCCCACCGCCCCCTGGAGATCAGGACCCGAGCTGAAACCAAGAGCTGGTTGCTCAACCAGCTGAGCCACCCACGTACTCCCCGAAGTGTTGGTCTTAAGAGCACAGTATTTACAAACTCGTACCTGCAATTAATCTGCAAATTTCCATGCAACCAAATTAACATACTCAGCAATCTACAGAATAACTGAAAATATCTTACAATCATGTCCAGACTTGCGTGCGTTTACGCAGGTCCTTTAACCCATGTACACAAGTTATCAAGAATAATATTTGGGTCCGCGTAAGCTGCTTTCTGGTCATGACTGGTTCATCATGAAGGACCCAAAGATTCATTTTAAGATCATGCTGAGAAAAAAAATCTAAAGGCCTATTGTGGGATTTGTCAGATTCAGCATTTGGATGATTCAGGTACATGATTCATTCTCACACTTTCTGGTCTCTAGGCTCCTTTACACTTAAAAATTCTTGAGGATCCCAAAAAGCTTTTGTTCATGTGGTTTATATCTACCAATGTTTATTTACCAAGTTAGAAATTAAAGCAGAATATTCAAAAAAATGTACCGATTTATCTAAAGATAATAGCAATAAACCCAATACACATAACATGAACAGATTTTACTTTTCTCCCCCCAAAAAAGGTGAGAAAACTGGCATTGTTTTATATTTTTACAATCTCTTTAATGCCTTGCTTACGAGAAGGCAGCTGGATTCTCAGAGTCAGGTTGAAATACGGGGGAAATCCTACTTCCCAGAGAAAGTTGTAAGGGAGGAGTGTGCTAATCGTCTTTTCTCATGAGTGTGGATATTCTTTGATACTACATCAAAACTCAGCAAGCAATTTCCTAAAGGTCAGGGTGTGGAAGCTGAAACTTGATCAGTGAGCCCTCAGTACTCTATTACATCACAATCAATGGCTCCACCGGACACCCCGATGGATCTTAAAATTCCTGCAGGATTCCGTGACCTCATGAAAGTAGCTGGTTCGGCTCACAAAAATAAATTTTTATTTTTATTTTATTTATATTTATTTTATTTTTATTAAAAAATAAAAACAATGACTGGCTAATACTGCAAAAACTATGAAACTATGACCTTGGGTTCCCTAAAAAGGTCATTGTGGGTATTTATAAACGGGTCTATAGGGCATACTTTGAGAACCACTGGAGTGTGTATCCAGATGCATCTGTAGCTGCCCTTTATATACTTCCATTTCTTGCGTACCTCATCCTTTCAAAAACCTAAAAAAAACCCCCAAAGCCTCTCCTTATTTGAAAATCAAAAACAAGGCAAAGAAACAACAAACCCCTCAACATTAGAATGTTGAGACGTAATTTACGCCACGTGCCATTGACGTGTTAAGAAGAGACAGCAAGTGTGCTGGGCCTCGGCGAGGTGTGGGTCCTACAGGCGGCACCCTTTCTGAACTGCCGGGGCCGAACGAATGCAAAGAGGGCCCCAGGATCTGCTCTCCAGGAGCTGGAATTACTCCGGGGGGGTCTGTCCTTTCAAACCCTGTTCAGGCGTTTCACATGCTATTTGGCTTGAGATAACCTTTGAGGTTACATTTCTCCTTTCTCTAAGTTAGAACAGCAAGAGACAGACGTGCTGAGTCTCTCATACCCGTATGGGTTCTGCAATTCAAAAATAAACTTCACCTAGAGAATTTGGCTACGGTCCTGTATCATACCCTCGATTTCAATAGAGTGGAAATAATCTAAATGTCCATCAACAGACAAATGGATACACAAAACGTGGTAAATCTATACAATGGAGTATCATTCAGCTATAAGGAGTGAAGTAATGATCCGGCCGTGATATGGATGAATCAAGGCCACATATGACAGGATTCCGTTCTTATGAAATGTCCGAAATAGGCAAATTCAAGGACAACAATCAGTGGTTGCCAGGGGCTCAGGGCAGAGAGTGTGGGGAGTAACTGATAATGGGTGTGGGTTTTTTTTTTTTTACTGGGGTGACGGAAATGTTCTGGCCTTGGATAGTGAGTTTTTTTTTAACAAAGATTTTATTTATTTATTCATGAGAGACAGAGAGAGAGAGAGGCAGAGACACAGGCAGAGGGAGAAGCAGGCTCCATGCAGGGAGCCCGATGTGGGACTCGATCCCGGGTCTCCAGGATCACGCCCTGGGCCGAAGGCAGGTGCTCAACCGCTGAGCCACCCAGGGATCCCCTGGATAGTGAATTTGTACAATTCTCTGAATATACTAAAAAAACACTGAACTGTATAATTTAAAAGGGGCAATTTTATGGCATGTGAGTTATTATCTCAAAAAAAAAAAAAAATCCACTGTGGTTCTCCCGGCCTACTGGAGCCAAGAGGCTATATTTTAATTGGATTCTCTTACCATCATTTCCATGGCTTAGAAAGTGAGAACCATTCAGGGCACCAGCAGAGAAATTAATGACGAGACGAGACCCTGGGGTCAGGACCCGCAGCCCGCGCCCCGCCTGCAGCGCCCACCCCGCCAGGCGTGGCTCCACCGGCCAGCCGCGCACCCTTCCCTGCACTGCATGCACTCCCTGCTCTTCTGAAGTCTCATTCTTTCTTTTTTTTTTTGTTTTTTTAAGATTTATGTTTTGAGAGAGAGCAGAATGAGAGTGAGCTTAAGGCGGGGGGGGGGGGCAGAGCGGCGGGGCTCGATGCAGGCCCCAGGGTCACCGTCTGGGATGGAGGCGCCTGACAGAGCCACACAAGCGCCCCTGCAAGTGGGATTCGAACCCAGGACATGGAGGGGCCCCGGTGGCTCAATGCATCAGGTATCTGCCTCCATCTCCGTCTGTGACCCCGGGGCCGTGATTGAGCCCCACGGCCGGGCCCCAGCCCCGCTCCGCGGGTGAGTCTGCTTCTCCGCGGTCCATGTCCCGGCTCACTCGCTCTCCTGAAATACACCAATAACACCTTGGAAGGAAAAAAGGAGAGGAGGGAGGGGAGGGTCTGCATGGGGGAGGGACAGCCTGTGGGGGGGATGATCTGCTTGGGGGTGGAATGGTTTGCGGGGTGGGGGGGTAGGGATAGTCTGCGAGGGGGGGAGGGGGATGGCCTGCGGGGGGGATGGTCTGTGGGGGGAGATGACCCTGTCTGGGAGGGGACCCTGTGCAGGGAGGGGACGGCCTGCGGAGGGGGGAACAGCCTGCAGGGGGGGGGGCGGCTTGCGGGAGGGTCCGCGTTTCCCTCGAGGCTCCTCAGAGGTCTGTGGGTTTCTGGAGACAGGCACCTGGTGGACCTACCATGTGCGGGGGCCCCCTGGCAGGTGGGACAGGACCGTGGTGGGGGAGTTGTCCCCAATTCCCCGGTGCAGGGCGGGCTGGGGCCAAGCAGGTGCAGCAGGGTGGGGGCCCGGGCAGAGCAGGTATGGGGCGGGGGCCTGGGGCCCGAGCAGGTGCGGGGTGGGAGCCGGAGCAGGTGTGGAGCAGGGGCGCCGTGGGCAGCTCTGTGCTGAGCGGCCACCTGAGCACCTGTCTGGGCGTCGGGATGCACCGGCTCGCCCGTCTCACAACGGACAGAGTAACGTCACCCCTCAGAACAAGCAAAGCGGATGCTGCTGCTCCGGGGAGAGCATGAAACCCTTAAAGTCTCATTGCAAACCCGGGCTCACGGAGGCGGGTGGACACTGGCATTCCTCATCAGCTTGGGGATGAAGAGCCGGGGCAGGCCTCACAGGTGTAAAGAATGGGCTACATAAAACATTAGCACTATTATGTTCAAACTACGCATCAACAGAGGAAGGAGGAAAAAAAAAAAGAGCCCTAAAATTTAACTCTCTGCAAGTTTGGAAAACATGAGAAGTCGAGAGGAAGGCTTTGCATCCATTAAATCACTTTGCTCCCAAAGGAATAATAAAAATCTTTAAAGTGTGTACAGCTTTTGGATGCATGCATTTTAGGGCAAGGAAAACAGCCTAGAGTGAAACTGCTATAATTTTTAACATATATTGACAATGAGTTATTTTTCTGAAAACGCAGAAAGTCATCTCTTAGCATTCATATCCTTTCTACTCACCATACTGAAGGGCTTTCAGTGGAAACCAAAACAGAATAACTGAGTGGAAGAGGCCATTTAAACAATGAACCCAGAAAACCTGAGGGAAAACAAAAATCCATGAGAACCACTTGCGATAAACTAGCTCCGTGAACTCTGACCTTTCTTTTTATCTGCGAGCTGGATTCACAAAACGTGTTTCTGTCGGGCCAGGGCTGTGAATTAATAGAACTGACACTTTCTGCCTCTTAGACCTTCATGGGTCATTTATTTATTTTTATGTTTCTCAAAATGTTTTTTCAGCTTCACCGAAATTTTTTCCTGCTTTTGAAAAAAAACCAAGTACGAACAGTTTAAATTTCTGCCCGACCAAGAAAATAACACGTAACGGGAACGTGTAGCTCCCGTTAGGTGAGCTAACGTTAGGTGGGGTCGTTTTCAGAATTCTCGGAGAAGAGCCTTCGGGAAGACACAGCGATGGGGGAGGTCCCTACTTTCCCCTTCCCACGTGCAGCAGGAGTGCCAACCTCCCGAAGGTGGTAAAGCATCCCCCCCTCCCTCCCCCCTCCCTCTCTCCCACCTTCCTCTGCACAAACTAAGAATAACGGGGTGGCGGGGTGGCGCGTAGGCCATATAATCCCTAAAGGCATCGTCGGGGTGACTGGATTCCTGCGAGGCTTCCAGGATTTCTGAGACTCGCCGGCATCAAGCCTCCAACAATCAGAACACCATCTAATCGTTACTACTCTTCTACACTGCATTTTAGGAGCAAAGGGAGCAGGCACCGCGGGTACTTTCTTTGTAGCCGGGATGGGAAAGATTAAGTCATAGAAAAACTGTTTAGAATTCTCATGGCCCTTTGAAGAGTCGCAGTTTTGCCATTGAAAAGGGCTGCTTGCGAGCAAAACTCACGCTAAATAAAAATCGGCATGTATTAATAGTTTTAAGCTGTTCAAACAACAGAAATTAAGTTGCCTGCCTCCCCAAATTTTCCACTGTGATCTCAATCCGCCCCGTTAGCTCACCCAGCCACCCTGGACGGTATGATCCAATTTACGCTCCAATACATTACACATTTGAACTTGTGTTACTCATTAACCTTTGTCTCTTCTCCTCACTATGTCATTACCGCAAGTTTTTATTTGACAGAAAGCACAGGTGGGTGCAAGAAAAATTAGTTCTACTTTTCCATTTTCCTGACCGATACTTATTGTCACATGCTAATCCTTTAACCCCTGTCATGACCTCGGGACCTCCGACCCTTTTTACCATAACAAACGTAATCATCGTCATTCAGGGCAACAATGCTTCTACGCTGGGGACCCACAGCAACTGCTGTGTGTACAACTATGCATTTTGTAGCCATTTGTCCCTGAATTTTAAAACACTTAGAAGGGGTTTAATCAAAGATTTTTCACCGAAACCACTAGAACATCCACGTACACTATTAAGAAATGGTTGGCAGCTTGTGTATAAGTGTTGAAAGGGAAGAGAAATTAGTTGCATGATCTATTGGGTTGATCTAATGACTTTTCGAAATGCACGGGCTCTGCGGATAATGAAATACTCTGTAAACAACAAAAGGACAGCAAAGGACACAAGGAATGATGCTTCCACGTGAAAACTACGGACTGCCTTTTCCTTGGCCACCAGCCGTCTCAGTGGCCATGTGCGAAGGGTCTGAAACGATGGGACTTTCCAGGAATGGCTCTGGATAATCCTGTGAGGATCGATTTCTGTTTATAAGCAAGAGTTCCCCCGGCCAAGTTTGCGGCTGGGAAGCTAACACGGTGGGGGAGCCTGAGCCCTGGTAGACCGTACTTGTGGCTGAGGCTGATACAAGCCTCTCACCAGGTCGGTGAGAATTACGGCTAGTACCCCAGTAGGCCTGGCACTTTCTCAGCTCTCAAATCTCTCTCTCCAGGAAAACAAGAGTTCACCGTCCATTGTATCTGTCTTGTGACTTGAAAATAGCCACCAGAGATCATTAAAAAAAAAACAAAACAAAACATTACAGCAAGGTGGTCCAATTTAATACAAACTGGACATAAATAAATCTTGAAAAAAATCTAAAAATAAAATGTTAAAAAAATAAAAGCATAGATACCGCATATTATAACTTACTAATCGTTTTAGGAGAGCATGGTCTAAGATAATTCTCAGCTTTTTAAATTTTTTCCCCTGTTTTTCTAAATCAACCAAGCTCAGTTATTTAAAAAAATGGCAACGAGTTGTGTGTGCATGCCTGGACACGCATGCACGAGGTCTCCGAGGACGAACAACACCCTGGCTATCCACCGGGCACCGGCGCTTACAGCTTAGAGGAGCTGGAGCATCCGTTTGCTTTATTCTCTCGGTATGCTGAGGATGAACATCAATGAGGGCTCAGCAAATTAATAAACATTAAAAATATCCTACATTAACCTTCCTAAATGGGAAGAACTGGTTACATCTAAGTATTAGTAACAGGCTAACAAACATGCACTGTATTGGATGGGAAAAGTCCTGAGAAGGTGTATTATTGTATTTGTTGCTTTTATTATTGTTTCAAAGTGGCATCGCCTTGACTGTTACGAGACTAAGCACTTTTTTTTTTCCTGAACTGAAACCTGAATTACTAACAAATACCAGTGGAAAGACTTTACAATACAAACTTCGAGGAAAATAAACTATGCAAAAACAAACAAACAAAAAAAAGCAAAAAAAAAAAAAAAAAAAAAAGAAGAAGAAAAAGAAAAAAAAAGAGATTTTTGTGGTTGGTTGACAAATAACTGTCACGGACCCCAAGGGATCACAAATCACAAACAGTCCATGACGTGTTTTGTAGGATATAAATTCAGACTGTGATTTCAGATAAAATGTCAGATATTTTATCTTGTATTTAAAATTTTATGGCTTGGAATTACTGAGTATTATGACCTAATGAGTTATTGACCAGAGACTATAATGCAAGCTAATACTCTAATGGGGTCAAGGTGACTTGATGGAACAGAAAACCACCACTTTGCACGAGGAAGGACAGACCCTGCTGGTCCTGGAGGACCCGTGCGAGGAGTGAGCCTTTCCCCAGGACACTGCAGACACAGAACGGCGAGGGCCTGAGGACACTCGTGTCTGTCTTTCAGACCCGATTAACTGCCGTCTGGCAAACTCTAGTGAACTGTGGTTATGTGTTAATTTTATAAGAAAACAAACCAATAGAAACGCTTCTGAGTCCGCATCCGAACCTGCGGCAAACACGACTTGTCACGGTCGGAACCCTGGCGTTTGTGTCCTTAGCTCCGGGAGGCCAGATGCCCCGTGTAATCACAGCAGTTGAGCGAGTCCCACTGCCCACCCCAAACACGTGCGGGGCCGTTGTGTCCTACCTTGGTGTTGAAGTCCAGGGCGTTCTGGGAGGTTTTGTACAATTCAGGATACTTCAACATGTTCTCTTTTCTGCAGGATCTCTCAAATATTCCGAGAGTTAAGGGAGGCATTGCTGTAAACATCTAAAGGGCACACACTGGTCATTACTTCAAGGAGCCTAGTGCAAGGTGAACTTTAACCTCAAAGTATTTAATATCATATATTAAATTATTATAAAATTTAATATTAAATAATATTTAATAATCAGGAAAAATCAAACGTCTTAAACTTACCACGTTATAAAGACCTATACACCATCTCTCAAAGAGGATCTGTCCAGAAAAGCCATTCACAAAGGCAAACCAGATCTAGGAAGAAAACAACCCCAAAGCCCCCAAATTAGAACATAAAAAACATAAGTGCATCCTTTACAATCCAAAAACTCAGCCGTTGCATAACAGCAGTGTTAACATATGATTTTCACAACTTTCTTAAAAATGGCATTTCTTTGTTTTGCTTTCTAGCCTGAAGGGGTGCTTTCAGAAGGTATTTGTTATTTAAGTCAGAATTAGTTGCAGTTGTCGAGTCAAAAAAAGAGTCATATTAACAGGCATCGTACATTTAAAGAAAATTAAATAAACCTTATTTTCTAAAAGGCACTTCGGGGAATATATTTTATGTCACTAAACTTTTAGAGCTTTAGCTCCTTATTAAAATATGTACCTCTTGCTAATTAAAGAGATAACTATGTCCTGGAGATTAAAGAGATAAATTGTTTTGGTTACACAAAAAAACATGTTTCTGTAGAAAATGAAATGACTTTCCTATAACAATATAATCATAATTATTCCATGCTGGCTGCATTCAGATAGCTCATGTATATACACTCCCAGATTTACCCTACTGGAGACCTGTCGTATATAGTGTCAGGTCCTGCTCCTTTCCCTCTTAACAGTACATAACTTTTCTTAAGTTGTTACATATCCTTTAAAATGAGATTAATAGATGTACATCCCCTACAGTGGGACTATAACCATTTCGGGATATTTAGTTTGCTTCCAGTTTTTGCCATTCTACTGAATTCTGAGCCAAATATTCTTCTTCAAAAATCCTGTACATCTTTATTTTCTAAGGATGGATTTTTTTTTTTGTAAGTAAAAGCTACATTAAGGTATGACTGACATACAAAAGACTGCACAGTCAGGGTATACAGTTTGGTAAGCTTGGGCATATGTGTACGGTCATGGAACTGTCATCGTAATGAAGGTGATACACATATCCGTCACCTCTAAAACTTTCCTTGGATCCCTCCTTTTTTTTTTTAAAGGATAAATTCTTAGAAGTAGAATTAATGGGTAAAAGTTTATTGACTTTTTAATATTTCTTGATAAGTCTAGCCATTGGAATGTGAAATTTGAATTTATATAGTAAAAAAAACCCTTGATATCTTGAGTTTATGCTTTCATTAAGCATAAATCTTCAAGTAATAAGGCGTAATGTTCTCATATATTTTGTAATTCTCTTAAAAACAAAAGCCTTTGCTTTGGATACAAAATGAAAGACGCTATCTTAAAAAACAAAAACAAAAACAAAAGCACCCATCTCTAACATGCTTAAGACAAATGGAAAATTAAAGTGACTGTTAGTCAAAAACACATATATATTCTTCTAAGAAAGCAGACCTAAAATGTGATTAAAAATAAAAAAAAAAAAATCAAGCTGGTCTGGAAGAGTAAAAAGTCTGGCCTGGCAACGAGATTACATAAACGCACACTCACAAAACCAGAGCATAACGACGACACAAAACCTGTTGGAGGAAAGCAGTCTTGACATGCCAGTCAAGTGAATTTCTGAATCAGAGTCGCAGGGACTCTGCTACACTTCACGTTTCATTTAACCTCATTATGGAAGCATGAATTGCTACAAATTCACCATTTATCAATATGTACCCAGGCTGGCCTCCCTATGAACAGCTTCTGTACCCACATTGATCTTTTTCCTTTTTATAGTGGGAAGGAATGATTGAGCATATATAAAAACGAATGTCTGCTTCATGAGATGGAAAGGAACACAAAGGAGCGATAGCACATGAAAAATAAGTCCAAATTGTGTCAGGGTTGTAACACGCATTACCAACAACAATAACAACAGCATAGGAATCGGAGTCAAATCTGAAATTCTTGTGTGCTTTGCTACATCTGTTTATTGAAAAAAAAAAGAAATTGAACATTTGCCCTAGACTAGGAGCCGGGTCATTCACTCGTACGTGCTTTAAAAGAACTTAGTATGTTTATGCGAAGTTAACTTTATTCTTCGGGTGGTGCTGCTGACTTTACACCTTTTTTTTTTTTTTTTTTAAGGGTAAGTAGACACAAGGTGACAAAACAGGCTTTAATTCTCTGTATAGTGTTTTCACATTTGGCCTTTTTTCAGATGTGGATTATGTCAATACTTATTTGTGATACTCTGGGTGACGGTAATGTTTTCCCCGGAGGGGACTGTGATTTACTGCAGCAATACACGCTGAGAAGCTCTTTGAGATATCTTAGGGTATGATGGAAATACAGGGAATTTTTAAACACAGAGTTTTAAATTATGGCCTCACTAGTCTATGAAGATGTTATCCAATCATTGTTGGCCTGAAAAAAAGATGCGTACCAAACTTACCCAATGGACATGACCTGGCTCAAAAGGCTACAGTCATAAATGTATCTGCACTCATCAGTGCTATATACAATCAGAAAATTACGTTAAATTTGTGTGTGAGTAAACATTTGTGAACGCGAATGGTCTCCTAGCTTTGTACGTGACATTCGGTGCTGATTCAAACGCCACCATGAGCTTGAAATTTAAGAACCTCACTAAAAAAACAAAAAAACAAAAAAACAAAAAAACAAAAAAAACAAAAAACCTCGCTCAAATCAAGTAATATTTACAGAAAGCTTAACATTCAAAATTGTTTGCAAATAAGTGAACATGTCTGCAAAGTTCATTTAAAAAAATGCCCACTTTAACTGCTTTATGGAAGACATGTAGAAATTTTTAAGTGGAAAGCTATCAACACATTTTTACCTTTTTACTTCCCCTATTGAGAGGTAGGTGAGTATGTTTTTACAAATTACCTTCCTGCAATACAAAATTCCTATTCTAATTTCTTCTTTAAAAAAGGAGACATGACTAGAAGATGAACAGAATCCTTCGATATAGTACCCTACACCTTTACAGAAATATTTTGGCGTTCAAATTTACATATTTCAAAGGAGAAAGAGAAGGTCTTTGATAGTGAAGAAGTCTACCAAACGGCTGACTTCAAGCCCGTCTGATTTGTATTTAAAAGATATATTAGAGAAAAAAAAAAGATATATTAGAGACACATCCCATACTAAGTAAAACAGCACCTCGATGACTATTAACACATAAAAGCCCCTCCGCTGACTCAGTCGGAAGCATGGATACAAAAAGAAAACACCAGTCTTTCTGGGGAGGTGTGGAGATTATTTAAAATTCATAAGAAATCCATATCCCAGCACAGCGTGCTGGCAAAGTATCACCTCACTGACTTTAATCAAGGCTTCTGCAACTTAGAAACACTTACATTGTTTTGGGATCTTACCAGAAAACCTGGATGCGATCAATCATTTGAAAGAAAAGGTCCTATTTTGCTAGAAGGGAGTCAGATATTTTAGAGAGAGAAAGAGAGAGAAAGCGAGGGAGAAATCCCTCTAGAAAGAGCCAGTAATTTCAATGAACACCTAGGGCTGCTGCGGGGCGGCCACCTCGCGTCCGCGTCTTACGCTGCCACCTGCCAAATCTGTATTTATGTGTTTGGCTGTAACTGATGGCAACGGAGGAGCTGGACAGGGACCTTCCTGGCAAGGCAGCCACGGGAAAACCCCTGGCCGCAGATAATCTATGAAACGCACAGTGTTCCAGGCTATTCCTTTATTAGCAAAGAAACTGCAGACCTGCGTCTCCCGGTATTATTTTCTGAGTTCCACGTCCCAGCAGAGGCGTGGCAGTTAAAGCCTCACAGACTTTCTCCTCATGGACCATTTCTGCATATTAAACAGCAGCTTACAAACGGTCAATGAGTCCTCTGCTCCCACGCCTGGTCAGCACAAAACACTGAAAGGCGAGATTGGAGACTGGCAGTTGTCCTCACCAGAGACACCCCGTGATGTGTTCTCTATTCATTCACGGCGGTGACATGAGCCATTAACATCTGCAGAACTTGTTTTAGCTGGCAAAAGTTGGGTATCTGGGAATGGATTTAAAAGGTCAATTCCTTTCCAAGACAGTTGAACTATATTCAGCATATATTTCTATAAAGTGCTAAAAGAAAAATACCTTAAAAGCGAGATTTCCAGGAGAGTGTAGGACTTAACTTCCTTTCCAACGTGTGAAGAATTTGATCAGTGCTAAATATCTCATGAAGAGGCTTTAAATCCAAAGCCAAGTGAAATTCAGGGCTAATCTAACACAAATCGCATAACCCTGGGTCTGAAACAGAGCGTGCAGGCTCAGTCTTTCATGTGGGTTTAATGTATTTTATTTCCTCCATTAGTACGTTTCCCTCCACCTCATTGTCGATCATCAAATAATCTAGATTTTTAAACAGCAACAGGCTGAGCACTCGCTTCATTTGATAAGATTAAATTTTTGTAAGAAGGATTACTCTGCCGGTGGCTTTAAGATATTTGTATAAATCGATATTCTTTTCAACAGTATTTGTAAATAAACTGTATAAAATGATATCCTTATGAATATTGGTGTTTGGGACGAGAAGAAAATTAAGAAAAACTGGGACTATAGGAGGGGATTGGGAATCGAGAACTATTAATTCAGAAAAAGAACCACAAATTTGCACATTCACCGAAGACTGCATTTCTGGATCTTGCAAGCTATTTTTATTTATTTTTATTTTATTTTATTTTATTTTTTTTGCAAGCTATTTTTAGAAGTGCATTTTGCTTCAAGAGACAAGACTATCCCGGTGAGAATTGAGCGGTAATGAACAATGAGCTCACAGATTATCCTGTTTACGTCTCCAAGGGTTTGATTATTTTACCTAACGGGTTGTAACCTAATTATAGAATTTTTGTGACCAGTAAATGAAACTGCCCACGTGCTTCGGAACTAAGTGTCAAGGTTTTCCTAGCTGGACTCCTAAGAACTCTGCTCCATCAACAGCTTAATAAGGAGAGAGGCATCCTGACAGGGGCACAGAGGACAGCCGGACGAAGTGGGCGGCAGGCCCCGACCGACGACCACTGGGGTAACTGTGAAAGCCACTGAGGTCCTTGTTCGCGGTGTTACTTGGCTGGTGCAAACTATCAGCTCTTAGTCCCCCCCGGCAAATGGTCAGGTTGTGACTCTGGGGACAGAGGTGCAGAAACAGCAGACCAGAGGGCAACGCATGCGGGGGAACCTGGGTGGGCTGATGCAGGGGAGGGCGGGTGCTGTGACAGGAGAGGGAGACCAGGGCTCCCTAACCAGCTACAGGGCCCTATCCGCCTGCCGCGTAGCTGCTGGGGCAGCAAGACACTGGTAACGCCTAGAGTTTAGGACTCACAAACACAGCTGCTGTATGTATAAATGATGATAAAATGGTTATCTGTTTCAAAAAAAAAAAAAAAAAACGGGGGGGAGGCCGCCCCGGTGGCTCAGCGGCTAAGTGCTGCCTTTGGCCCGGGGTGTGATCCTGGAGACCCGGGATTGAGTCCCATGTCAGGTTACTTGCATGGAGCCAGCTTTTCCCTCTTTCTCTCCCTCTCTGTCATGAATAAATAAAATCTTAAAAAAAAAAAAAAAAGAAGCTAAGTCACATATCCATCATGTCCCAGTGAATCATTTAGTTTAATTTATCCACAGGTGCTGTGCTGTCCAGGATGGTGGCCGTTGGCCACATGTGGCTCTTGAACACTTGAAATGCGATTAGTCCAAATTGAGATGTGCTGCTAGTGTAAAATACACACCAGAGTTTAAACACTTAGTATGAAGAATATGAAATACTACGTTAATGATTTTTATAGCAATTCCGTGTTGAAATAGTTTTGAATATACTAAGAAAATATTATTTTATTATTTTATTTTTATTTATTTTTTAAAGATTTTGTTCATTTATTCACACACACTCTGTGTGTGTCTTCATGAGAGACATAGGGAGAGAGAGAGGCAGAGACACAGCAGAGGGAGAAGCAGGCTCCATGCACTGGGAGCCCGACGTGGGACTCGATCTCGGGTCTCTAGGGTCACACTGAAAATACTATTTTAAAATTAGCTGGGGCTTTCACTTTTACTTGTTGCTAATGTTAGAGCCTAGAAAATTTGAAATTACATATATTTATTTATGCACTGTATTCCACTGGCAAGCTCCTGGAGGACGGGAACCATGCTTGGTTTACTTTGTAGTTGCTGTGTTTAAGCCCGGCGCCCGGCACCCAGTAGGTGCTGCAAAAACATTTATAAAGCAGAAGGCCGCCTTTTAGAGGTGACGTTGCTGACTGGGGTTAAGTTTTAATTTAAGTTTTTAAATGTTTTTGATTTATTCATGAGAGATGCAGACGGAGAGGCAGAGACACAGGCAGAGGAAAGAGCAGGCTCCCTGCGGGGAAATGGGGGACTCGATCCCGGGACCCTGGGGTCACATCCTGAGCCCAAGGGCAGAAGCTCAACCGCTGAGTCACCCGGGCATCCCAAGTTTTAATGTTAATAATAATGTTATATTTGGCATCAGGAAAGGAATACAGAAATTCGTTGCTATCCAGACACAGGAACTGAATATTCTGAGAATTTCTAAGACAAATTTCTCATTATACCCAGCAATCAACTCAGAAGCCAAAACAGGTCTGGATAGCAAGCGATACTTGTATATTAGTAAGTCTGAAACACAGCAGGAACTACGAGATGACCCATACTAGCAAACCATGTGCGTATCCCTTCTGATTCTACCCCTTAGAACTGCTACCCTCGATTCTATGTCTGTCATTCCCGGACTTTCCTTCTAAATGGTTTTCCATGCGAGTATCCCTAAACAGTAGACTGCATTTCCTGGCATGATTCTGAGATTCATAAAAGATGCTATGTAGTCTATACTCTTTTAAAAACACTGAAAACAGCTGAGTAATATGTATACAATGGAATATTATTACTCAGCTGTTTTCAGTGTTTTTAAAAGACTATAGACTACATAGCATTTTTTTTTTATGAATCTCAAAATCATGCCAGGAAATTCAGTCTACTGTTTAGCCATTAGAAACGACAAATACCCACCATTTGCTTCGTCGTGGATGGACCTGGAGGGTATGATGCTGAGTGAAAGAAGTCAATCGGAGAAGGACACAACATTGTATGGTCTCATTCATTTGGGGAATATAAATAATAGTGAAAGGGAATAAAGGGGAAAGGAGAAAAAATGAGTGGGAAATATCAGAAAGGGAGACAGAACATGAGAGACTCCTAACTCTGGGAAACGAACTAGGGGTAGTGGGAGGGGAGGTGGGCGGGGGGTGGGGGTGACTGGGTGACGGGCACTGAGGGGGGCACTTTATGGCATGAGCACTGGGTGTTATTCTGTATGTTGGTAAACTGAACACCAATAAAAAAATAAATTTATTATTAAAAAAATCAAAAAATAAAAACGCTGAAAACAAAAAAAGTAAAAAAAATAAAAACACTGAAAACATTACTTCATTAATTCTCATTCAACATACCTTACCGAAACCACGTGACATTTTTAGCCAGAAATTTAAACATTAATTATTCTCTGTGGCCAACAGACTTCCACGTGATTGGCAGTTGTAAAAAGTGGGCCAATGTAGGATTCACCCAAACAACGAGAAACTTTTGAAAATATCTATGCACCCGACAAGAATTTTAAATAACCCGCTATTACCTCAATAATATAGAGGACTATATTCTTGTAGAAGCAGTACAGAATGCACTTGGAGACTCTGTTATAGTTCCAGGCGCCATGAACCATCAATAAATTCTTCAGATACTTGAACTAAATGAAACAAAAGCGGAGAAGAGTTAGGATGGAAAAGAATTCGTATTTTTCTCTTCATCCTGCCAGCTGAGACCAATGGTGTGTTTTGCAGAAATGCTGCTTTACCTGAGCTATGGAGTAGTCAGAAGAGTTGGCGGCCTGCAGGCCTTCATTGCCGCTTATGCCAACGCCCACGTGCGCCGTCTGTATCATGCTGACGTCATTGGCTCCATCGCCAATCGCGAGCGTTATGACTTTGACTTGTTTCTTGACCATCTCAACAACTTCAGATTTTTGAAGAGGAGAAACCCTTAAATCAGAGCAAATGATCAATTACCTCTGATTTCTGGAAAAAAGAAAAAAGGACTTTTGAAATGTCTTTATCTTTTTTTAGATAATCCTGGAGACCGGGGATCTTTTTTTTAAAAATTTTATTCATTTATTCATGAGAGACCCAGAGAGAGAAAGAGAGAGAGGCAGAGACACAGGCAGAGGGAGAAGCGGGCTCCATGCAGGGAGTCTGATGTGGGACTCGATCCCGGGACTCCGGGGTCACGGCCTGAGCCAAAGGCAGATGCTCCCCCCTGGGCCACCCGGGTGCCCCGAAATGTCATGATCTGGAAGCATAAAAGAAGCAGAAGATCCAAAAGGGCAGTTCTATGAAGTACCATTATGGAAAAGTCAGCTTTGCAAACGTTCAGGTTCCCCATTAACCTGTTTGCTGCTTTGAGGGGGAAAAAAATGAAGTCTAAGAAGCAAGGCTCTAGCTTGTGGGCAGAAGTGGGGACGCCCTGTTAAACACTACTTTACCAGAACAGCTGCATTAGTTTGTTAAAGAAATAAGCCTGGTGTTTAGAAATTCCATTCCTTCCTAACAACGCTGATGTTTCAAGGGCTTCGCGTCTGCGCGCCGAAGGTCAGAGAGGCGCCGGGCCAGCCTCGGCCCGTACCAAGCCCGTCCTGTACCCGGAGCAGATCCTCGACGACGTCCCGTCCACCTAAGACGGCTTCCACCCCAGGTTCAGGGCAGGGGCTCGGCCGCCCCCCGGGCCTGCTGTCGCCCCCACCGGCAGCTGCCCAACGCCGAGGGCTGGCGCGGGCCTCCGTCTCCCTCGAAGGTCCTGCGAGCCAAGGGGCGTCCCGCAGCCTCTACACCGGCGTGGGTCGAGGACAGAGGCGGCAGCACCCGCAGGAACGCCGTGCTGGATGCTCACCTCGGACCCACGCATCACAGACTGTGGGGTCACTTAAGAGACAGACCCCAGGGCTCACGGGCGGTCGGCACCCGCGAGGTCACCGCACCGCACAACGACCGGCGGTCAGGGGGAACACGACACAACCGACACAGGGAACGAAGACGACTAGTTAAATGCAGAGCAACGACCAAGGAACACAAGCCAGGTCAAAGCCTGTGTCGAGGCGGAGCGGAGCAGGTGTCCGACGCGCATCGGCCGCAGCATGCCCGGGTCCTCCGTTATTCTACGTGAAAACGGACACGGCGGCTCTGCGAGGCCACATGGGGGGCCTTCCTGAGGCTTTCCCCAGGAGCAACTCCTAGCGGCGCATTCTCTGCACGAACCTGTCCCTTCCGGAGGCCCCGCTGCCCTGCTGGGAGGCTTCCTGCCCTCGGAGCAGCCTGGCTGTTATTTCACGCTGGAGAATCATGACATGAGCCGCGAGCTCCTCGCAGCGAGCCAGGCCCCTCACCTTGGCGTTGCCGGGCCCGGTCCAGGCCAGGCCCCCGACCACCGCTGCTCTGTGGAGGAACGACGTTCAATTCCCCCTTTGGGTCTCCCTTCAGAGCCCGGCAGCCGCACAAAATGACCCCACTGTGAACACAGCCAGGGAATGGGGGGGTGTCGGCCGTCACGGGCTTCTTCAGCGTCAGCCCGCGTTTTCCTTCCAAGCAATTTTCCCTTTGTTTTCACATTTTATTCAATTTTTTCCTAACGGGCTGATATAAATTGGCGAGCGCGCTGGCTGCAGGCCAGCGTTTTATTTTTTTTTAATTTTTTTTAAATTTATTTATGATAGAGAGAGAGAGAGAGAGGCAGAGACAACAGGCAGAGGGAGAAGCAGGCTCCATGCACTGGGAGCCCGACGTGGGATTCGATCCCGGGTCTCCAGGATCGCGCCCTGGGCCAAAGGCAGGCGCCAAACCGCTGCGTCACCCAGGGATCCCCAGGCCAGTGTTTTAAACACGGACCACGGTGAACATTTCGTGAATGTAAGAAGGGAATGCTCGGCGAGAAATGATCTAAACAGCAAGCAGGGAGTGGACACGGAAAGAGAGCAGCATCCGAAAACATTCATCAAGTTCCCTTCACAGTGTAACAGGCTCACCGTGTAAATAAGTGTGAAGTCACACCATGGGATCGATGGAGCTAGAAAACGGGGGTATTTTTTTTTTGCATCGGCTAAATGGGTAATAAAGGAGAAATCTCTGCACGGTGCGCTAACAGTCGTGACTTAAAGCAGCATCAGAAAAGAGCTGGACCTAACTCTGTTTTCTCTTCTCATGGTCATTACAACCAACCGCTGTTTCCTCCGCCTGACGCTGCAATTTTCAGTGCCCCCAGATTAACGCTGGCTGAGGACTATCACCCACCTCGTGAGTGTCATTAGCTCAGGTGTTAAAAATGGGAATATTAATCTCCTTTGGCAAGAACGGGTGACGATGCAGTAGGAGCCCTCCCCGAGGCCCCCTGCAACCGTCGCTAGCAGGGGCATCCGCTTCCTCGACAAGCTAACAGCAGACAACGGGCTTGGACGGAGATTTAAGAAACAGTGGAAGCCCTCACATCTGATGTGTTTGACGTGCCTAGTAGTTGGTTGCTTAAGAAGAAAAAAAAAAGATGTCTGATTTAAGGGAGGATTCATAAAAAAGCAAAATACACACCCATCGGACATTTAACTCCTAAGCGTACAAGCCTGTGACGTGGAGCGAAGAACCGACTTTGCACAGGGGCCTGCAGTTTGAGGTTCTGCATGTTTTTTGTGGCAAAAACCTACTCACGCTGGTTCCATCTGAGTGGAGCTCAGAGCATAATGAGGCCTCCACCCCAGTTGACGGTTCTCTCACCCGCTCTGCATTAAACAGCATTTTTTTTTGACCCCCCACAACGTCTCTCTAGAGCATCACACCTGGTTCTCCTAGCGACAGTTTTGACTGATTCGTAGGAAGCACCCAGTCAACTCACAGACGCAAAAGCGCAGGTGTGTCCTGAAGAATGTCCTTCCAGCTCTGGTGTGATGCGTGGTGGGCACCAACGGTGTGTCTTACTTAGGGAGGGAATGTGGTTCACGGGGACTCAGGTGAGTCAAGCTGAAATCGGTTAAAAAGATCTGTTTTTACAGCATCCACTTAAAACATTTTTTTTCCCTTGCTATCAGGGGTTCCATGATAGCAAAAACAGACTTACAGGACATTTGACAGGAGTGTGGCATAGAGCTCTTTGGTGTACTTGCCAGCACTCCATAATTTCAGAGGATGCGCATATCAGACTGGGCCGCAGGAGGCTTCCTTGACCAGTTAGAATCTGATGTGGCCCTGAAGAGGGGAGGAGAGCTCATGTCAGGCAAAAGGAATAGCACGCACTAAGTTTCTTCACGTTCAAAATTACCTAGAATGTATTCCTTCTACCATTGTCCTTCCATCTAACCGAAGGTCGCTAACTGAATTCACACGTGACAGTTTACTTTCTTGACTTCTGTATGCATGCTCCTCTATTTATTTGTATACTTTCCAGAATAGTCTAGAGCAACCTTACTACATGCTAATTCTTCCAAATGTCTATAAAAAAAAATCATATATCCACAGTTGGAATACCTGAAACCTAAATTTTACAAACGCCAATAGTGACCCAATGCGTAATTCAAAAACATCACAAAAGTACAGCTTTCTAATCCAGATTTTTTTTTTTTTTTTTTTTGGGTAAACCACGCATGGATCTGCACCAGGATTTAAATTATACTTAGTCCTTTTCTCCTCCACTGTTGCTCCTTCATCTTTAGGAGAAGTCAGAGCCTCTGTGGAAAAAGACTACAGCCCAGCCTGTACTGTGAAGGCCCCACAGTCTTCCTGTGACTACACAGAAGGGGGTTCTCCATGGTGCAACCGAGCCACCCTCTGAGTGCAAAAGTGCACTTCAAAGAGGATTTTGGCTGTAGTTTCTGCACATGCTGTTCATTATTTTTTCTTATTTGCTACGTAATAGCTCTCATTGCCCTGTGAACATTAGATCAGAACACTGGAAAATTTTCCCATTTAAGCGGAAGGTATATAGGGTGGCACGTCTTAAATGAGCCTCACTTTGCACTCTTTCAATGGGATTAGCTAAACGAGATCGCCCTTTCGAATGGAATATGGATAAAGATTGCATGTGCAGAACACATAATAAAGAATATTTTAGGGGACTTTTTACAGGTAGCCAAAAGGAGTACAATAATTTACCTTACTGTATTGTGTTTTTAGGTTAATGACCTAAAAAATCTCATAGATACACTAGAAATTATGTTGATAATACATCATCTCAAAAACATAGACTTAAAAGTTAATATAAAGTTGTCATTAGAAGTGAATCTAGAAAAAAAAATGTTAAGAGCATGGAGGAAGATAGTATTTATCCTGAGATGTTTTTTTATAGAGCCCCTGTGTTTACTAAGCTTGGGGGCTGCTCCTAGTGACTATCTGGAGATCAGGATCATTAATTAGTGGGGGCTCTGCTGTATTTTCCTACACAACATACTTCTTAAGATTTCTCCTTGTGGATATTGGTCTGTTTATTCCCTACTGAGTCCTATTCTGAAAAAAAAAATCATAAAAAGAGAGGAAAAAAATCTAACAGAAAGCCTTTTTGAGGTCTTGACTCTTCTTCAAACTAAAATGCATTAGGCTCCTTTGTAACATTTTGAATTGAAGAGGAATTAAAATTTGTCAAAAAAAATTGGTTACTTGTACCAGAATCACATTAATGTGGTAACATTTCTAGAAACTCATCATCAATTTCCTTATTACTGGAATGAAAAGAGCTGCTTACATAACATCCCCCAAGCTATACTTGGCATATGGTACGTAATGAAACATTCGACCTGGAGAACTGTGTTATTCAAATGACTGGAGAGTGAGTACTTCCTCCCCTCCAAAGCAACATCTGTGGAGTCACCGCGTAGTCAGAGGCATCAAGGGGGCCTTATAATACGAGGAGTGAGTCTATGGGAATAAAATACGGATAGCCTTTCCACAAGATAAAAAAGGCAAAGTAACTTTTAAAAAGATGTCTTTTTGCAATGCATTTTCTTTATTCATTC